GCCCAAGAGTCATAGGCTGGTCACTGCTGTGGTAGCAATTTATACTGTGTCCAGGCCAGAGCATCGGGATAGGGAGTGATCAAGGCCTAAATGAGGAAGAAGACCTTTCTGAGTTTTATCTGTTTCCAGAATGATTACCCTACTGGAATAGTCCTCGTTCAATCTTTTACTGAGCTCCTCTTAAAAATAATTGGTGGAGGGATGGAGAACAGCTGAAATCCCTTAGCACATAAAGAAGAAAGAAAATACTGTGCTTCCTTTTCAAAGCTAAAAAAAAATCTCAAGGTAGCCTGCTTATGCTTCAAATAAGATACTTCATGGTGACAGGACCTCCCAAATTTCTTGACCTGTGACTCTCTGTTGGCATTACAAATTCTTTGCTATCCACAGTGCTCTGTTTTCATCAGCTCTTTTTTATGAAAAACATTTTGGGAGTATAATTTCCCACTGCTTACTGTAAACCATGTATCGTTTGTACACTGCCACTTGGGAAGTGATAATGTAGCTGGGACTACCTGTCGTAAAAAACACCCTCACAGCATGCTTATTGGCAATTCCAACACAAAAGCTGGAGTCTGAACACACACTGAAACTCTGCCATGTTACTTTCACTTTCGGGAAAAATACTGCAAATAAGTGGTGAGGCAAAATGGTGAGAAGCTTAAATAACCTTTGACAAAAACTGCACTGATTTTTTAAAATATAGAGACTCTAGGTAAGTACACATAAAATATAGTAGTGAAACAGCTCTCAGATGTCATGGATATTAGAAGGACATACAGGTACACGCGTCTGACCACAGACAGAGAAGAAAGTCTACTATCTGCATTCCTTCTTTGGCAATGTAATACTTGTTGGGCAGTGGGACTGCACTCTTACCTAGGTGACATCACACAAAGAGTTTCAAGCAGAATTATTGTTACTCCATTGGAACTGAGGATCCAAGTAGTTCCAGAATTTGTGATTCTAGTTATTTCCTATGGAGGAAAACAATGCAATGGAAGTATGCAAACAAACTCTTGCTAAGCAGGCAGCAGGGTTTTGAAAATAAATAGCAAACAAAACCAAGTTATTTGGGTTACTGAAAATGTTTTTTGCAACTGATACTTGTCGCTCAAGGAAGAGAATACTGGCAGAGACTGTTAGCAGTGTTTGTGACTAACACCACAGTTTATGACAGAGCAGTGCTACAAAGCAAACTTTCTGTAATTTTCAAGGATTTTTATGCATCCCCAGAGCTGAAGAGAAACAAAGGTACACTTTAGTTATGTAGATGTTGTTAAATGCCCACAGAACTAGATGTAGACTCAATAAATTGTGACCTTTTCTTGGAAGGAATGCTAAGTGTTTCAGGAAATATAAGGATTCGTAAGGTAGTCAGTTCTCTTTTCTGAGACACACTGATCCTATGCCTGACCATACTTTCAGGTGCTGGTTTTTAGGAAGGTAGAGGATAATGGTAATGTGTAGTCAGTGTTAAAGTGGTATTGCCGGTCATGTACTTTGTTTTTTTAAAAAACCCTTAAACCTTTTGGTTTAACCTAGTGTTACAGAGAAGGCAGCAAGATGCTTCTGCAAGAAAAAAGATAGAGGCATTGTGTGAGCTTGGAGAAGAGGAGACTGAGGAGGGATCTTATCAATGCTTATCAATATCTAAAGGGTGGGTGTCAGGAAGATGGGGCCAAGTTCTTCTCAGTGGTGTCCAGTGACAGGACTAGGGGCAATGACCATAAACTGGAAAACAGAAGGTTCAACCTGAACATGGGGAAACACTTCTTCACTGTGGGGGTGCCAGACCACAGGAACAGGCTGCCCAGAGAGGTGGTGGAGTCACCTTCCCTGGAGAGGTTCCAAAGCTGCCTGGACTTGTTCCTGTGTGATCTACTCTAGGTGATCCTGCTCTGGCAGGGGGGTTGGACTAGATGATCTCTAGAGGTCCCTTCCAACCCCTTCCACTCTGTGAATCTGTGAGACAATAATGGTAAGGAATATGGTAAGACAAAAGAGATGGAAAAGCTCTCCAGAAAGCAGATTGACTACTTCTAAGTAGCAGAAGAAAGTTTTGATCTTGTGTAGGGTTTTTGAGCTAAGACTGCTGCAGTGGGGCATCTTATTTCTTCCCTATCAGATGGAAAGGCATATTATCATGGCCATCCCATTTAATTTTTTCACAGTCCCTTTATTTGCACTCCCTCAACCCTTTTGGAAGACTAAAAAATAATCCTTTTCACTGACATTTTCTTATATCTTCTCTTTCAAATGTGTTCTGTGTATTACTACGGAAACACTGGGACCTTTGGTTTTTAAAAATACACCAGCTTGGCCCTGTATTTGCTCCTGCCATTGCTCCTTGTTTCTGAAATAAGGTTACAGTCTTGCATTTATCCTAGTTTCGTACAAGAAAATTTATTCTCCATGAGGCATCTAAGTACATAAAATCATTATATGAAAGAATTAGAATAAATATTCTTGAAAACACAACAATGTTTATACATTCTGAGAATGATGTCTGAATTTTGATTGATGTTGTTCATATTTCCTTTTTTTTAAAACCATGATATTGTGATAATAGCTCTCAGATTTCCCAGGTGTTTACACTTTATGGCACTGATTCTGAAAGCTTTTATTTGGTGGTTGTTGTCTGGTCTGTAGAGGACTCCACCAGAAGCAGCGGAACTTTATTTAATACATCATAGAACGGTTTGGGTTGGAAGGGACTTTAAAGACCACCTAGTTCCACCCCCCCTGCCATGGGCAGGGACACCTTCCACTAGACCAGGTTGCTCAAAGCCTCGTCCAGCCCAGCCTTGAACACTTCCAGGGATGGGGCATCCACAACTTCTCTGGGCAACCTGTTCCACTGCTTCACCACCCTCTCCATGAAGAATTTCTTCCTGATATCCCACCTAAATATACCCTCTTTCAATTTAAACCCATTACCCCTTGTCCTGTCACTACAGGCTCTTGTAAAAAGTCCTCCCCAGCCTTCTTGTAAGCCCCTTCAGGTACTGGAAGGCTGAATATAGAACTCAACCCAAAGTAAATTTCAGAGGCAGAAATGTAATCTACAAACAAGCAAAGCATCTACTTAATTTTCTGATGATAATACGTGTGCCCATTTGTACAATTGTAGCTCAAATACTAAAAATCCAAAAACTTTTCAGAAGAGAAGCAGGTATTTCTGTATCTACGTAAACCTTAAGCCTGATTAGAGTGTTACTTGACTGTACATATTATGGAATGGTGCTATTAATTTAGCATGGTAGAAAAATTACTCTTAAACCAGAATAAAGGGTAAACATGAATAATAACACTACCAATATATGGACTCCATCTTTTGTCAGGGAATACGTTAAGTATTTCTATAACAAACACAACTGAAATCTTCAGATTGGCTTGTAATTAGGCTCCTTTCCAAAAGTAATCTGTTAATACAATAGCTGCCCAAATCCCAGTTCAACTTAATTTCACTGACTTTGATTTTTGAACCAAAAGCATTAAGCTTGAACTAGTGAAAAATGTACAAAATGTGCATTCAATTAAGGAGTAATTAGATACTCAATCACCCTTACATCACACTAGGGATTATCCAAGAAAGAAGAGAGAGAGATACTGCACACTGCAGTGTATAAAACAGTTTTGTTAATTAGTTTAGCACTAATTGAGATTGAGAAGGTGTCATTGTGTCACAGCATTAGTTTGCCTACACAGAAGCTTAAGAACACATTTTTTTGAATTTTTTTTTGAGCTTACTCACTCAGATTTTTCAGTCTAATTCTCTGATCCAGTATCTTCTGTCCACAGAAGAGGAACCTTTCTGTTTGCTCCAAGGAAGGGGCTGGTCCCTGCACCCTAATATCATCATCCCACTGAAAAACATGCCAAGATTTTTTCCAGAGATGGATGCTAACTTGTTACATGTATTTTTATGTTACACCTTTATACCAAACCCTGGGAAGAACTGAGAATCTTCTGTGCTATTACATCAAGTGTACCTGTGGCTGAACCCAGCCACGCTGTGAAGGCAGCTGGTAGAAAGTTCTTCAAGCTGACCATCAAATGGATTTCTGGGGGTATTGGGTGGTAGTGAGGGAACACATGGAAATCACGGCACTGATTGTCTTGTGGGTAGACGCAGACTTCTGAAGAGCACTGCTGGTGACTGGCAGTGTCTACACTCTCTTCCTCTTTAAGAAGTGGGAACTCCTCAGAGCTGTGTTGACCCTGCAAGCAGTTGTAGCCCCAGGTGACCGTTTGCACCCAAGCACTTAGGGATTTTTTTGTGTATACATACTGAGCTAGAGTTGGTGCTAAGGTAGCCTCAGGGAAAAAGAAGATTATTAGTACAACAGGATGAAATGATTTGGCACTCTCACCCCTCCCACTTCTGAACTGAGAAGCACTGGGGCAACCTGAGCAGCTGAGTTCCTGAGGTTATGCTGAAGCATATGAATAGTTGTTTGCATGAAACCAGGTATTGGTTTGTCTCTGCTGCTAATGAATATTACTGCTATTAGGAGAGATAAATTGGGTGATTGCTTTCTGTCTCCCGAGCCCACCTGACTCCCGTGAGAGCTGCGTACTCAGCATTTCACTTGGTAGGGCCCCTAAAGTGGCAAAGTTTAGAAATTTCTCTGTGACGAGTATGTTTTCCTTTCTAGTTTACCACCATGCTCTCCACTTTGGAATAAATTACCTTATTGAGTCAGGAAGCCAATTGTAAAGCTTTGCTTCAGGTTCATAATTTTACCACTGTGTTTAATTTCGCGTTTTTATTGCCATTTCCTCCATTGCTCATAAATCTTCCAGCAGTGGCTTTACCCTAAAAGGGAAGAATCAGGACCATTATGTCACTGAAGTGTATACCCTGAAACTGCCCCCACCTGCTGTCATGAAATCCCTGCTTTTAGTTTTCCCTGTCTCCCTGGCTGGACATAAACAGTCTTTCAGACCTGCTGTGGAGGAATTTCAGTAACATAATTGTTCCATTCTCTTTTCAGAGAGGGGGAAGACAATGCTCCCACAGTGCCCTCAGATGAGAAATGGAAACTTTTGAGGCTGCTGCTCCAGTTGGACCACAAAGCCTGTATTGTGTGTCTTCATCTGATTCAGCCTTGATAGACAGCTGTGACAGTTGGTCTGTCCACACGGTCCAGTGAAATTCTGGGAATGGGGCTGTACATTAAAAGAAGAAAACACGTTAAATCTTCCAATTCACACTGTTCACTATCTTTAAATGGTAGTTATCATTGCTTATATAGTTTCTTTGCCATAGCATTCAATCTGTGATCCAAATAGTACTAATTTTAAGCTTGGTATGAATGTTAATATGTAGAAATATTCATTTTGAATGTTAGGTTGAATTTTATTCCATATCATGTGTTGTACTGTCAGTAACCATCTTTTCTGTAGGGGGGAGGTACATTCTATAAAGCTAATTAAAACATTGTCTGCTCACCAAGAGTATTATACAAATTCAGAATTAATTTTTGGGCAGAAGGGAGCACTTCTCTGCCAAACCTATGCACTTAACATGGTTTATCTGAATAAAGCTGAATGACATTTGCATTACTAGGAACCTTACTGAAATATAGGACAATTTTGAAATAAGGAAAATTAACTAATGTAACAATAAACAGAGTCATCTGGATTATTTTCTACTTGGTGAGTCATGGAAGTTTGCAAAGAAATGTTCAATTCAGGCAGAAAATGATCGACCTTTGTTTTCCTGTGAATTCTGACAGTTCTGTTTGTTCTGTACATTGCTGAGGATGGTGGTCTGGGGACCTGCTCTGCGTGTCCTCAACTCGCTGCAAGCATGGGGATCGCCACGCTGGGCCACACATGAGACATCTGACAGAGTACATAAGGGAACGGCAGTCTAAGCCCATTAGTCAACCTCATAGCTTATGGTTCCTGCAGAACACCTGATCTGAAGGACGGAGTCAGTAACGTGGTGGGCAGTAGCTTTGATCACCGTAGCTATCAGCGAGGTCCACTTTACTGGCATGAGGAGGGCAGGTTTATGCCGAGACCTATGTGATTGGAAGGCACCGGGGGCACAGATGGCAAGCTCCAGGCCAGGGCACAGCGGAGATGCAAGCTGAGGATTCACAAACTCCCTTTCTACCTTCTACCCAGATTTAAAGAAATATAACCCCATTATCTAGTCAATGGGTTCGAGATTTCAGTGCTGGCCAAAACCCCTCTTTCCACCTGTGTTGTCCCCAGCACTTCCATAATGTCCAGGCAGCAGCTTCACTGGCTGGTGAACCCCCAACTTTCAAGCAGCTGCAGCCAGAGCCCAACCTCAACAGGCTGTGCACCAGAGCCTGGCCTCCCGCCAGCCCGCATCTTGCCATAGGGCAGCAAGTGGTGAGGATTGGCAAAGAAATCTTAGAAAAAAAGCCCCACCAAAACTAAGCCCGGCAAGGTGGAAGTCAACTGTGTTTTGCCAATTGAAGACTTATTCCTGTTCCCTTGCACCCATCAATGAAGCAACCCTCCAAAGGCACAGCAAACCATGTGCTGAACCTGGAATTCCCAGGTTATATGCACAGATCATTCCTCTTCCCTTTGCACACAACATATTAACAACTACTGAGTATTAACTGAGAGGAACTGTGATATTAATACAGCAAATATTGACATTAAGATGAAATTTGAACTAGATTTATTCTCTAAATAAACGTGTTCCTTATCTTGGAGCTGAGTGATACTATTCTGGCTGTGAAACACAGATACATTGCAAAGCAAATGATGTAATGTCTCCAGCAAAAAACTGAAATCCATTATTTCCCTTTCCTGTGCTCCCTTCCTGTGTTTGCTGTTCTTTCCTGCATTGCCCTGTGCAGTGAACTTCTAGTTGTATAAATACTGCTGCTGAGGAATTGAGGTTAGTAAATTTGTCTCAACGTTTGGCAGACTTTATTTTCCTAGACTTGGCTTTGAAAGAGGAAAAACCCCACTGATAAAAATGCTTATAACTGTATGTTGTCTTTAGAACCAAACGTAATTATAACAACAAATTCATTCACAAAACACACCCAGTCTAAGTACAGACAGGTCAACCCACATTCGTGGTGTAGTGGGAACGTTAAATTAGTCTTTATGGTTTTGATAGGAATCCATGGGGAGGAATTTGCAGGAAGGGCTCTCTGTGCATTACTTCAGTTACACTGCGCCCAGGAGAGGTTTTATGAAGTATGATGAAGCTCTGCTACTCTCCAATTAGAATTTCTCGTGCCTGCCTTCATATTAACATAAGGAAGAAATCATAAAAACTGATAAAGGGGTTCTGAGGGTACTGTAAGGCCCTAGGTTAGTAATTTCCTCTTGAAGCCTACAGCTGCTAAAATTCTTTTGAATCAGATTGCTGTCTGCACTGGAAGTATTTTTGTAGGTAAGCATTGATGTCTGTGATGCTCCATGCAGTTCTGAAGATTTATTAGAAATGTGAATTAGAAGTTTCCAGCAGGCGGTGAGCAGTTACACACTTGTTGATCAAGAAATTAATGACGTAACACTTCAAAGAAGCGATGAACCTCAAGAGGCACAAGCTCGCTCTGCAGCCTTCCAGTGAACTTTAGGATGGTGAGGGGATGAAAAGAAATCTGTCTTCTGGGAGAAGGCAGGTGAGTTGGGGCAGTACATCTGCTGTCCATGATATTTCCTCTACAGGTGACATGTTCTTTGGGTACCTCTGGTTTTCTGGAGCTCCCAGGAAAACTTAGAGGCTTAAAGCTCTTAGATTGTTTGCAGACTATAGTGTGATGGGCTTTGCACCCCAGGCTGTGATCCAGAGCTTCTGCCAGTTCAAGTTCGGAGAGCATCATGTGTCCCTACAGCTGCTTTCTGCCCTGGCTCCCACGTTTGCTCCCCAAAATACACCTGGGAGGTGACCAGGCATGGATTGATGTGGATTAAAGGATAGACTTGATCCCAGACATTACAGCGGCAAGCAGGTGTGGCAGCTGTGTATAGAAACAGGCTATAGAACTAGAACAGTGAGTCTGAGAGGAGGTAGGGTGGTCTCTGGCCCGCATCCCTGTCCATCTCCTAGAGGTTGTCCATTGGTGTTCCTGAATCCCAGAGGGTGACTGAAGGCTGCTGTTGCTGAAAAGTGCTTAACAGAGTAACAGAAAGAAAAAATGTTGGTACCCTCAACATAAGGACACAGACCAGTTGGAGCAAGTCCAGAGGAGGCCACAAAGATGCTCAGAGGGCTGGAGCACCTCTGCTATGGGGACAGGCTGAGAGAGTTGGGCTTGTTCAGCCTGGAGAAGAGAAGGCTCCGGGGAGACCTTATAGCACCTTCCAGTACCTGAAGGGGCTACAAGGAAGCTGGGGGGGACTTTTTACAAGGGCCTGTAGTGACATGACAAGGAGAAACAGGTTTAAATTGAAAGTGGGGAGGTTTAGATTAGATATCAGGAAGAAGTTCTTCCCGGAGAGGGTGGTGAGGCACTGGAACAGGTTGCCCAGAGAAGTTGTGGATGCCCCATCCCTGGAAGTGTTCAAGGCCAGGCTGGATGAGGCTTTGAGCCACCTGGTCTAGTGGAAGGTGTCCCTGCCCATGGCAGGGGGGGTGGGACTAGATGGTCTTTAAGGTCCCTTCCAACCCAAATTGTTCTATGATTCTATGATTCTGTTACTGAGAAATTTCAGCTGTATTCTGCTGAGACTGCAGAACAAAGGGCAAGGTCCCTGCACAGGCAGCTTCGCAAGGAGTTGCACACATAAGCGTTCTCCAGAACGTGCCAGGGTGCGGCTGCCCTAAACTCGGACTCGTCCCCATTGAGTTTGACTGGTGGGCACAGCACTGGGGCAGTAAAGGCCTCGTACAAATTAATCTTTTCATGGTTGTCACATCAACTCCAAGAGAATGAAGAGAAGCTGCTTTCCTTGGAAGAGTGAGGGAACCCTGTGGTGAACGATGGCTGCAGGGGAAAAGGGAAAACCCGTTCTCAGGTTTGAGGGTTATGGAAAGAGAAGAAATTTTGGCCTGCCCTTTCCTCCCTTTCTGTGTTTCACAGTGGCATTATCAGACATGGAGTCCAACTTTGAGATGTGTTCTTCCTTTATACACCAGTGCTGCCTGCTGAAATATCAGGCAGGCAGAGAACTGTCCACCGCATCTCCTGAGGCTGGACCGTGCGGGATGTGTTTGGAAGTCTTCGTGTGGACGTTTATTTACGAAACCGCAACCACCATTGTAAGCATACATTGTGTGTATGTTTGTATCTTTAGGATGCTGTACACAGAAGGACTCTTTTTAAAACAAGGACAATTTACAATTACTTTAAAAACTTCTAATGAAAGCTAAGAAATTCCCGTATGAAGACTCTGTGCCTAGCATCAGTTCACCTGCACTATATCCTGTTGGTATTCTTCATGACTGGCTCTTTTTCCCTTTGCTTAATGAACATGTGTTAAGGTCGCTTCTCCTTCCCCCTGTCATTCATTATTCAGTCCCGGGTCCTTTATACTGAATGCCGTTTGTGCCTTGCTCTGAAGACATAATCATTCTTTTCCTCCTGGGGCTTTCTCTGTTACAGTATTTGTCTGAATGCTTTAGGTGGATTAACGAACTTAAACACTCACTTTGCAAATGCCTTCTGCCCTGCATCACCTGAGGGATATTCCTTTCTCATCACAGATGGGGTATCTGTATGATGCCAGGCATAAGGAAAAGACTCAGCAGTCAGCCACATTAGAGAGAGATCTTCATACTGACCTGCAACACGTGGTCCTTGTCCAGGAGAACTTGGTATGACCTTATCTGCAAACTTAAAAACCCAGCATTGACTCAGTAGTCAAGTCACCTCTTCAGACTTCTCCCTGATAAATTTACTGAGATGATGACTTCTTTTGCAAGGTTTGTTTTTTAGTGCTGGGTAATTTTTTTGGTGATGCTTCTATCCAGTATCTTCACGTCCTTCTCACCAGTGTTCTTACCGTGCTGTGTACAGAGGCAGTGGCAGTTACTTATTTCTGCTTGGTCTTGCCCAGAGCCTGACCCCATTTTGGTCCAAGGAGGTCCTTCTCCACCCCAAACATCAGGCAAACTACTGAAGATGGGGCATAAGAAGGGGAAACATCAGATAAACTTGAAAAGAACTTGCCCTATAAAGTACACAGCGAGCTATTGAGCTGTTGAATAACAATGAAAAAAGACATAAAGCATAAAGCAGCTTCCTTAAGTGTCCTTTCCTCTAGCAGGGATGTGGTTGGAAATACTCCTTCTCTATTTGCATCTCAAGTCATTTGTGTTGGAAGTGGTCCATCCTAGGTTGGGTAGAACAGCTGACTAACTCGCAGCCAGGTCCCAAAGCAATTATTAGAAATCAGGTCTAGCAAGTTTTGTTCCCTGAGTCTGCTGCTCTCCTGCCCCTCTCCCACCAGTGCCAGGGAATTGGCTGCTCATCCTTGGGCACCAATCCTTAATCCTGACTGTTCACCAC